CAGGTTTGTTGAACTGTGTTGTTAGTGTAACAGAGAGGGATAATTGAGAATGGTGGAAGGGGAGGGATAGGGAAGAAAGTTATTGTGCCATATTGATGGTGCTATTACAAATTTGCCTGGAGGATCTGAATAAAATCTCAGAAAGCATCAGGATATCTGATTTTTTGGGCCTACAATGAAACACAAAGCCTGAATATGGAGCCAAAATGCCAGTCTTTCAGCTATAATGTGATGTGTAAATAGAATCTTCAGTATATTTTTACAATTTGGTGACCAGTTACTTATGCCTCATTTGGCTGACATAATGACTTAATTACACTGTTGTAATCAGAAAATAACATGCCATGTGGGCAATATCAGTTGCAGGAAATTGATAGCAGTTTTGCTAGTCTTTTAAAATCTATTTGACTGTGGACTCAAATGCAGGACTTTAAGTGGTATCCAGAACTGAAACCTGAGATAAATGTTTTCAGTCAGGAGTGGTCAACCATTATGAGCCACTCATAACAATCAGTCACACACCAAGTATTTTGCGCATGGTTGTACCAACATGCCATTGTACTAACAAAATTGTAACAAATATTTCTCATTTGTGGAGGAAACTGTTTAGCTTAGGTTAGTTTAATGTAGTTTCCTTTATATTTGTGTTCAGTCTAGTAAGATGATAAATTTTGTGAAATATCTAATAGGGTATGTGCTAAAGGGCTTAGGTGCATTATCACCATATTTTGAATATGTTCCATTGAAGAGGTTGTCTGTCATTTATTCACCTACTTTTACTACCAAGTCTTTACATTGTGAAACTTTATATAGTCTTATGTAATATTTTATGGTAGTGTAATAAATAGAAAAAAGTAAAGCTGCCTCACTACGTGCCATGTGGGTGCTTGGGGCCAAAGGATGTATAGCTCCTACTCATTCTAGATAGGGGTGAGTGGTCAGCATCTGAGTTTGTCTTTGAAGTTAAAAAAATCTAGTATAGTGGAAAATTGCAGATGTTGAGAAAATAAATGCATGATTTTTTTTTTGCCTGTTTTAGGTAGCAGACTTGGCTCCAGCAGTGGACCGTGGTTACATGGTAGAAACCACACTACCAGATCCATACAACAGTAATTACTCTGGAGAATACCATCCGCCACCCCCAGAATATCCTCCACATACATATCGAGAAGAATGGCCACAGCAGGCTCGGGTATTTTGTTATTTCTAGAAATTTGAATTTTGTTATTTTTTTAAATTTGAATTTTGTTATTTTTAGAAAATTGAATCTTGTTGGACTTTGATGTGCTTGATGTTTAAAGTGTTTTGTTTAACTTCCAGGCTGTGCTGCATGGTCCAGGAGAATCATATGAACCTCCCAAAGATCCTCGGCCATTGCCACCATATGAGGAGGATCGTTTGCCTTGGGAGAGCAGTGGAGGTGTGGAGGAGAAGTTACCTTGGGAACGAGATCGAGCCAAGGATCGTGAGCGTGATAGAGAGAGAGAACGTGACAGG